TTTAATACTATTAAAAAACATATTTAACTAAACAGTTATTGACAGTAAATTCAATAATAACTAAAAGTGGACACAATTTTTGGGTTTCATATTAAATATCTCTCTGAGAAGTGGTGTCGAAATCTGTAGATCCCTTCGGGAGGCGATATTCCTCTGGATTTCTCTCATACAGTAAATGTCATCCAAAACAGCGATTAATTGTCTGAATTTGTTTCGCAGCCAAACGCTGTCCGTCCCGTATCTCACCATTAGATACCTTTGCAATAAATACATGTAAATTCTCGGTTGAAGTCTTTGCATAAATGCAAATATATTACAATTAGTTAATTAATTGTTTTTAATTTAAAAATATGTTTTTTACACTTACTTTACATTTTCCATGTGCTCTAGATTTGGACGATTAGGATTTAACAGTACGTGAATTCAATTAAGTATTCAATCAATTCTTGTCTTTGTTTTCACTTTTAATGTTGTTTTTGATCCCAAAAGTGATGCCATTATTAGACTCAACGAACGCTTCACTCAAACATTTGATCCAAAGATTTAATACTAAAAGTGTTTTAATTGTTATTTAATGTGTTTTTTGTATAATTTATAAATAGTTTAGTATTTCTATAAAAAGTCATAATTTGTGTCAAAACTTGTATTCATTAACGAAATAAAAAGTTTTAATTAATTTTTGTTATAATTTGTTCACAATTTGAGTGTTTATTAATCACAGCATTAGATGTGATATAAAAGAGTGAAAACTGTTTACGTTAGACATCTATTGAAGGAACCGATGTGCAAATGGAAATGAAGAGCAGATCCTTAGAAATTGCATTTAATTCATACATTCAATAAGTGAATAAAGTTGTTCAATCCATTTATTGTAAATTTCGTACTCATTTTTATTAATTTAATGAAATTATTATTTATTTGATTCAATATTTCATTTATTTAAATCTTTACAAAACTTTTCTCAATTAACTAAAACACTAATAAAATTAAAAGTTTACTATCATTTATAACAAAATATGTTTAATAATGTTGAAATTATTATTTATTTGATTCAATATTTCATTTATTTAAATCTTTACAAAACTTTTCTCAATTAACTAAAACACTAATAAAATTAAAAGTTTACTATCATTTATAACAAAATATGTTTAATAATGTTGTAATTTAATCACAAAAATATACGAAAATTTAAATAGATTAAAATATATGGTTATATTAATACATGTGAGAGATATAAAGATAAATTGCATTAAAAGTGAATTATGGCAAAGATTTAGAGGAACTTTCAATAGACATTGCGCTCATGTTTCCCAACGATGAGTCCATCGCTTTCGTCATTTGTCTGGTTGTGACCAAAATGTGCAGTTCTAACATATAGGACAACACCACTAACCCTATGGTCACCATTAGGTGAATACCAATACTAATGCCAATCGTCCCATTTCTTTGATCGTAATCCTTGCCCTGTGTTAAAAATACGAGACTTGCAATGCCAGCGATGACACCGCCGATGAAACATAACACCAGATATATGAGACAAAATTGGTGCCAATTCCTCGAGCCATAAGTCTTTGAATAATTAACTTTAATGGCGTACCGATAGGTCAGCAAAACGAGTAATAGTGTGAAAATTGAGCCAAAAAGTGAGATGACTATTAATAAACTGTCACTAATTTCGTTATCAATGAGGAGAATAATGGCGTTAAACAAAATCAATGCATTGAACGACAAGTAGAAGAATGTGAACAATTCATTCAATTCAACCTCTTTGAATAGATGACTATTAATAAACTGTCACTAATTTCGTTATCAATGAGGAGAATAATGGCGTTAAACAAAATCAATGCATTGAACGACAAGTAGAAGAATGTGAACAATTCATTCAATTCAACCTCTTTGAACACTTGAATAGCGTCTTCGGGTTCGTGTTTCCAATCCTTTTTTGCTAACGGAAACCGTTGTTCGTCGCGGTCTTTGTTCGGACTCTTGGTTATCACCTTATTATGTACTTTAGAGTAGTAACGGATCCGCTCTTCGATGCACATGATCTCCAAATGGGAGACATAAAGAGACCCTTTGGTGGCCGTAGTGTCCATATCAATGTAACCAAAACTGGGAATCTTGAGCTTACGGCCGAGGATCACCTGAACCATTGCCCGCTTCATAGTATCGATGTTTTTGATTTGCAACAGTGTTGACAATTGTATGGTTAAAGTGCTAACGTATGCATTCTTTTTGCCGTATATGTGAACAGAAACGGTATGTCTGTCAAAATCAAACTCAGTTTTGTCCGACGGATTGATCACTAGTTTGACTAAATATCTGTATTTCACTTCATTTGGATCACACTTATCGTCATATGTGAGGACATCTCTGTGTGAAAACATATTCGACACTAATATTAATCCAATGATCACAAGCCATATACCGATCACAAAAACTATAGGAATCCAATTCAATTCAAAACCCATTACTATTTGATTGGATTTTCTAAGAAATTTGTGAATTTTCTGTACTATTAGACACTTTTGTTCTGATAATACAAGAATTAGTTAATTAACTAACGTTTATAACGAATAAAACTAGTGTTTAATAATAATTTCAAATTTAAAACTTATTCATGAAATCTAACAATTAATATATCAATTTATGTTTGTCTGTAAAACATTAAGTTTATACAGTAATTATAAAATGTATTTTTAACTCATAAATAGTGTTTTACATTTTCATATAATTAAAATAATCATAAAAATTAATTGACTTTAAATCGATTTTTAATGAAATACATTTGAAATGATATTTGTTTCACAAAATATGAATCAAATTGAGAAACGGTTTGCTTTAAGACACAGATAAAAACTTATATACATGTATCTTCGTATTGAGGTCTTAAAACATTGGCCACAATCACACTCTTAGGCATTGAGGCATTCTCTGTCTCCATTCTTTGGATCAGTTCTCTCTTGATTTCAGGCCAAAGATCCAATCGGAATACTGGCCGCCTATTGGCCAGTCTTGTGGTAATAAATTTCATCAAACCGTTTATTAGAGGTCTATTGTGATTGGCATGAAGAGTGAGCCGATCCACAGAAGCATATAAACTCAGTGCCTGTTCTGAAAGGCATTTCCCAAACCAATTCTTACGAAGAGACAAGTGTTTCAATTTGGGTAGTTTTGACACACAATCCATACATTGACCGAAAATCTCTCGATAATTGGTTCCGTCGTTACTCTCGTAATGAATGCAATGGAGACTCAATTTGCGTACATTTGGCAACATTTGGGCCAAATTTGACCACTGATTCGGTGAACACTTCATTTCATGCAACGATAGCGACCGCAACGACACCATTGGTTGCATATATTTGGCCATCGATTGAGTGTCGAAACACATTCGAGGAGACTCTTCTTCGTCGATATCAGTGATACTCAGTTTACTTAAGTCTTTGAGTTTTGCGATACTTTCGACAAATTCTTCGGTTGAAATGTCACCCAAAATGATAGTCAAATGTGTCAAACCATTGAGACGATTGCATATCAGTGCAAACCATTGTTTCCAGAGAACAGACTCTACATTTGATTGTTGGGAACATTGATACAAAAGCAGTTCCCGTATTTGTGGACATTTACTTGTGATCACATCCAGTGCCTGACTGTCCGCTGGAGTCACACCGATGTGTAGGGATTGGATGTTTGCCGGCAAACAATGGGTCAGTGATGAGAGAGTGATCTTTAGGAATGCTTTCGGATAAACATTTAGCGCTTGAAGTGATGTTACTCTTTGAAGAATGTCTGTTAGAAATGACACATATTTTCTATCAATACTTCCGATAGTAATGCGTGTGACTCTTGAGAGAAGTTGTGCCCATTCGGTGATAGTCTTGTCACTCGAGCAATCGATGTCTATGTCGTTGATAAAGAGACTCTCGAGTTGTGGCCACTGATTGACAAATAGCTCTAATGTCTTGAAACTGATTTCAGTCGACGACAGATAGAGTGTCTTTACGTCACGGAATTGACGGACAATAGACTCGATCTTCGCGTCTCTTTTGCCACTCAATGTAAGATCAATTGCTCTGGAAGTGATCGCTGGTGTGATGTCAATGCGATTCCAGTCATTCACTTCGTAGTTGGAGTTAAAGTATCTTAAGTGTGAGTGTGTCTTGAGTTCATTGAATCCGACACTCATTTCTGTCTTCTTCTGAAGCACTTCTTTGACGCAATTTCTGAACTGTTGTGACACTCGTTGTAATGAAAACAAGTCGTTGAGATCCAAATCCTTGAATATAAGGCACAGAATGTCATCATTCATGACATCATTTCTCTGGCCATTCATTTCATTCATATCTTTTGGTTTGAATTCTTCACCACTTCTTTATATTCTTTAAATACTTTTCAAAGAAATGTTTGAATTTATGATTTGTGTCAAAACTTTGACGGAATTGACGGTTAGATTTGCTCTTAATTTTAAAATACTTAAAAGAGTGCGAAATAACAATGAAATAAGTTTTTACAGATTATTTATTTCAATTATTTAGTAGATATGAAATGTTTAGATAAAATTATAGTTCAAATTATAATGAATTTTAATTCAATGAAACGACTGTTTTAACAATGAATTGTATTATAACTGTTAGGCAGACAAACAGAAACTTATTGACAAACAAAACAATTTTATTTCCATCGCTATTCAAATGACAAATAATTTACAAATGATTTTATAAACATTTTTCATTTAATTAAAAATAATTCAAACAAATGCTATTTTATTTATATATCTGGCAATGGATTCAAATCTCTGTCAAAACGTTTTTCTATTGATTTCTTATAAAACGTGAATATTTTTTGTGCGCTTTCTTTACAAGAAGTGATGATTTGTTGCAATTGAGTGAATGTGAAGTCGCCGTCACTTGTGATGGAAACCACTTTCTTTTGGGTGCTCTCGAAGACCACAGTGAAGACGGCGACCGCGTTGTCCGCGTCGGCAGTGGACGCGTTCACAACGATATTGCCGTCGGCGGTGACGATGGCCTCGACGGCCGCCAACAGATACTTCAACGGAAAGCCGGAGTCGAGTAAAGCAAAGCACACGCCGTTCAGACACGAGGCCAGGAATGAGCCGCTGTTTTGCATCTCTTGCAACATAATTGTCACCTGAGTTCGCGGGTGAAGACGTGTATACATAATGGGCAACACATTTGAATGGATCAAACGCTCGATGGCTTTGGTCTGCGGGTCGTCTGAAACCGACAAAAGTGTCAATAAATCAATCATTGAATACCAGATGTGAAGACAAGCAGTAAAACAGACCTCTTTTGACGGTTCGGATGAGTCGTCGATAGCAGACCTCGAGTGCGGCGCCGATGGGATCCTCTTTAGTGATGTGCACTTCTGTGGGCCCGAAGACCGACGTCTGGACAACAGTCTCGCCAAATGAGTACAGAGACGAGCCGTCGCTGCGGCTTAAGTTAGACAACATCACCGCTTGGATCTGTTCGCGCACTTCTGGCCCTTCCATCGCATCCATTGTTGAACTTCTTGGACAACAATCGGCGGTTTGTTTGTCGTGTAATACAAGTTGTGTTACAACTCGTGGTTTATTCACAACAAATGCAAACAAATTGAGTGACAATTTGTGTGCAAAACGTGTGAATGAGAGCGCAATCTGTTGTCCAAAACTTTTTTGTAAACTTTTTTGCGCTTAATTTGTCGGCAAAACTATAGACCAGTTGTAAAACTTGTGGTCATTTCCTTTTGAGGACAACTTTTTCACATTAAATAACACTTAAAAGCATTTCAAACACATTTGAACCAAATTTATAGTTATTTATTGTTTAATACAATTGTATTGTTAGCACGAGATATAGAAATCAAATGATTTGATTGCAGTTATGGTTGACTTTTTGCTGCAATTCTTCTAACCGTTAATTGAATACCAATTTTGTTAACAGAGAATCAGATCTGAATTTCTTTTGCAAACAAACGCTGAAATTATCACAAATAAGACAATGGTTTCAGAGGTTTCACAGGTTTTGCAGTATTATTGGCCTTTAATTGTAATGATGTGTATTTGGATTGTATTGTTTGGATTAGTATTGACTGCCATTTGTTATCTGTCCCGAGATTTCTATAATATTTACGACAATTGCTCTCCAAATGAAGTGAAATACAGATATTTAGTGAGAATTGACTTTGAATTACCACCAAAAGCAGGACCCGATGCCAGTGGTAAACCACCAAAGCTTGATCTAAGCAAACAAACCCTAACCACTCGTATCTATGGGGAGATCACTCACAACGAGAAGAAAGTAGTCGTATATGAGACCAGTTTTACCGTCAAATTGTCCAAATCTAAGGGTCGAGGGGATGACAGTGTACTCAATGTGACGGCTATACTCAACCGAACCCATTCACTGGACACTATGGCCTTCATAGATATGGTCAGCTCAGCCAATAAACAACAAGCTGTTCGTGTTCTGCACATTGAGATCATTGGCATCGATGAAAGGGTCACTTATTTCGGGACAATTGAAAAGTGGATCGAATATCAAACTCCTGCCAAAACCGACGACAAACCAGAGTTTCCATTGAGAAGATCGAAAGACTTTAAGGGAGACTTTCACGAAGAGATCCACGTATTCAAAGAAGTGGAAGTGACTGAAGTGGTTATCATTGTCTTCTTGTCGTTGAATCTATTGCTTTTGTTTAATGCAATTTCTATACACTGTAACAACGAGAGGGCAGACATCGGTGCCTTCATCTCATTGGTGTGCTCTTTGGCCATAGAAGTAGCGGTTGTACTGACCTATCGGTACGCTATAAAAGCCTATTACCAGCAAAGCTATGGCTCACAATTGTGGCGCTGTATCTGTTATATCTGTTTGAGTTTATGTGTCATCATTGGTGTCGTCTCCGGAATCGTTAGTGTCTTTTTGATGCCCGGAGAGAAAGATGGGACCACTAATGGCATCATTATTGGGATTAGTATTGTTTTATATGTGTTTTTCACAGTTTTCCTCATCGTTATCGCATATGTAGTCAAAGCAGATATAATTATATCTTACACTCAATTGCCATTCAGTGGTAATACAGACATCGATGACGACGAAACGTCAACCGCTGTCACACAAAGAGATCGACTTTAATTAACTTTATTTTATTGCCTATAGTTATAACAATTGTTTAAACTTTTAGCTTTTAAACTAAATTCTTGTATAAAATTCTTGAACTTAAATGACTGCTATTTTCTACTAATTATTTCCTAACATTAAAGTGAACTCACATTTGATTGAATGAAACAATTTATTAATGTATGAAAGTTTGGATACAAAAATAATATTCATATTTTAGTCAATATTTGATATTTTATTAAACAATTTTGTTCTCTCTTTTGAAACTTCTTTTTTCAATCGATGGTTTCGAGCGATTGTCTCGTTTCACTTCAATTGACCGAATCTTTGGCCATCTTTTCGGCAAATTTTGCGCCCAACTCTTGTGTCCGTTTGAAAGCGGCGTCCATAGCCTCGGAGACATCCGAAGGCAAGTCATGCCTATCGGGGATGCGGGCCATCGCTGACTCCATTAGTTCGGAGGGATGTTTGCCGGACTCCAGAAGAGTAAGTGCAGCGCTTTGAGCCGTATTGACGGCAATGGCTTCGGCCAAATCCCACTCCAATCCGCACTCATAACCCATATTAGCCAATGAGACGATGTGGTCGATGGCATTGGGCAGACCGTGTTTGTAGACCGTGCACTTAGAGTCCATCTTACCCTCAGGGATGTACTCGAGCTTTGAAATGGTGGACAACACCTCTTTGATGATTGGCGCGCACTCTTCGGTATTGTCCGGATCCACATCAATGCCACCCGAACCGCAGCCAAAAGCACAGGCGGTGCTGAGGAAAATGCGATGCATTTCAATGAGATCTTCCTCCGGGTGTTCAGCATTCAGAAGAAGACATCCCTTAATTTGGCTGAGAGTCGCGCCGCTCACCAGTGATAACACATACAACGGGTGTTTCATGTTTGGGATGGGGTTTGTGGTGAGAGCCGAGCGATGGGAACCGTCTTCGTTGAGGCACTGTTTGATGACAGAGCCGTGGAAGCAGAGGAAGACCACATCGCAGTCGTATTTGGCAAAGATATCGTCGTTAGAAGTGGTGGTGTTTGTGACGGGAACGCCGTTATCTTCGCTAATAATTTCCAGATTTTTGGTGGTCTTCGCGGACACATATATCCGCTTCGGATCTACTTTTCCGTATTCAATGAGTCCAGTAATGATCGCCTGAGCCATTCTTCCGGCGCCCAAAAAGCCAAACTTCGCGTCCGCGAGACTCGCCTTTCCCTTCCTCTCGTCTGAAGAGGACATGGATTCAGACGCAGAGTCGGCGACACTTACGTCAGTGTTTTGCGGCAATTCTTTGGCCAACACTTGCATCGACTCCAATGGCAGGCCTTCGCAATGGCTATCGTTGGGCTCCACTTCTGCGACCTCCGGGTGTCCGCACATGTCTTTCATCGCTTCTTTCATATTAACGCTCAGTTTATTGTCTTTTGTGGACATTTTGACCGAAAATTACCGAAAATGGGATCAGTTTTCAAATAAACAGTACTTATAATGACTTAAATTGTGGTCTGAAATGAGAAATGAAAGTCACATTCAATTGAATGATTGAATTTACAGTTAGTGTGAAATGTATTGAAAAAAGTTTGCCAAAAGTCGTGGGGTTTTGAAGACAAGCGACGAGTGATTGGTTGACGTCATTAATGGCTAATATTTGTTACCATTTGTTGAACTTTTGGTGACAAATATTTGTTCAACCGTTTAGTCATTGATTGATAATTAGTTAATTGTTTTGTAATTAATTAATAATAGTTATAATTAGTTAAGCCATTGATTGTCACGTATGAGTGACTGAACGAATGAGTTGGCAATTGTGGTGACACTGTGTCTGTCTCTGTGTCTAACGTATTGATTGGATCCGTTGGCCAGTGATAGCGATCCTCCACAGCAGCCATGGATTGGACACACAATCTGGTCCTCAATGAAGAGGTCCTCAAGAGTCTGAGCGACCAGAAGAAGCCTATATTTGTCTTCGAATGGCTTCGGTTTGTGGACCACTCGCTCGTCACCGCAAACAAGGTTTTCATAACCATTTGTTGTCATTTATTTGTCCGATTTTTTGAACCATATTTAATGTCTTGTATTGTCTCGTGTTTTGCAGAGCGATATCAAAGAGTGTCAGAAGAAACTGATGGACCAATTGATTGTTCGTATTAACGAGCCGTCGGGTCCGCCCACCCGTCGCCTCATCGCCCGCTGTCTGTCGACACTGTTTACAGTCGGCGACACATTCCTCCTCTTCGAGGCCATCAATAAATGTAATGATATTCTCAAGAATAGGGACGACTCGCCCTCATATCAACCAATCAAACTGTGAGTCTATTATCACCTAATTGTTTGTCCAATCAATTGATTTTATTTATAATGTCTTATTTTTGTAACACATTTTGGTTTAAAATCATAATTTTATTTGAATTCAAATTAATATTGAAATTATGATTTGATTCAGAGCTGCGATCACTTGTTTGGGAACAATGTATGAAAAATTGGGTCGACTTATGGGCCGATCCTATGAGGAAACGGTGCAACTCTTGTTGAAGTCTATTAAAAACGCTGAGGTATGCCATCGAATGCTATCCATTTTTGTTGTCATGATTTGCATATAACAATTGATGCCTCCTTTCAGTCACAAACCCGTTATGAGATATACACGACATTAGAGAAGATAATGGCTGGTATGGGAAATGCGGCCAATTCTTCGCACAGAGATGTCTACAAATCGGTGAAACACGGAATGACAGACCGGGCGATGATTGTGCGAAGCAGTGCCGCCCGATGTCTGCACAAAATGCTCGGTTGCGCCCAATTTCTTCACACAACCGAATTAGAGAATGTGTTCTCCATTTGTTTTCGAGCGCTCGACGGCTCCAACTATGAGGTCCGCTGTTCTGTGGCTCAAGTGTTGGGCACTTTAGTCGCCCAAACACAACAACCGCCGCCTTATTTGACACAACACTCGTCCAAAACCCGAGTCGTGACGTTAGAGGAAGCGTTAAATCTATTGGCCTCTGGTTTTCTTAGGGGCGGAATCGGGTTCCTTAAGAGCGGCGGAGAAATGATTAAAGGAGTGACGGTTAGCCGCGAGACCCGTGTGGGCGTCACTCACGCCTATGTGGTTGTGGTGTCTGTGTTGGGCTCCCTTTGGCTCGAGAGGAATATGTCTGCATTTCTAACGCATTTACTCGATTTGTTAGCCAATCCAAAGGCCATTACGTCCCATATGGACGCCGTCTACAGTCGGAAATGTGTGGCGTTTGTGTTGCGGTCAGTACTCGGGCGACAACTGAGCGAAAAGGCACAGTTGCAGGCCATCAAAGAGTTGGTCAATATATTGAACCGTTATCTCAACGCCAACGTCAACACCAATGAAACGAATTCTGATAAAAGTAACGGTCCGTCGAGTAGTGCAGCCAATAATGCCAAAGACGTGGCCCAGGATTTACAGCTCGTTCAACACGTATTGGTTTGCGCTCTCCTCGAAATGGGTTGTCTTATACAAGGTTTGGGCACCACTTGCATCACAGTAGTGGCGGACCCGCACGTGGGCCTCGTCGACACCATCGCGTCGATCGTTGTTCACCCGTCCAGTTGCGCGCGACTATCGGCCGCGTGGTGTCTGCGGTGTATAGCAGTGGCCGCGCCCTCACAGCTCACTCCACTCATTGAACGCTCTCTCGAAAGACTGGAGACATTGAAATCAAATCCCGAAATAATTAACGGCCACTCGTGTGCGCTGTCGTCACTGTTGGGCGCCGTATGTCAGACCCCTTTAGGCATTCCTCACAATAAGGGAAAACTAATCTTCAATATCGCCGAAGACTTACTGCGAAGCGCGTCGCAGAACAGCCGACTATCGCTTCAGCGGACACAAGCGGGTTGGCTACTGATCGGCGCAGTCATGACATTGGGTCCGCCCGTTATTAAAGGGCTTTTGCCGCGACTCCTGCTGTTGTGGAAGAACTCGTTTCCGCGTTCGTCGAAAGAGCTCGAGTCGGAGAAGGCTCGGGGCGACGCTTTCACGTGGCAGATAACGCTCGAGAACAGAGCGGGCGCTCTGTCGGCAATGGCCAGCTTTCTCGCCCATTGCGACAAAT